GACCCACATCCTACATCAAGAGGTCAACAAGTCTGGAGGAGAGGACAAAGATTTGAGAGAGAGGCTGTCCTTGTACGAGGGCAAGGCGACTTTAAATCTCACTGCCCGCTTCCAATTCCGTGATCTATGGGAGTAATATGAGATATCTGATTCGGATTAGAGGCAAGGGAGACAATGCTTTAATTCGAAGAATTATTTTGTCTCATCAATGCTTTCTGCTAGTGACCTCCCCTTTAATTTTTTTTTTTAAACCCACGTGACTTGGAATAAAAACCCTATGCATGTGACACAATAATTTGCAACCACAGAATTGAATGAATCCATGAATATGTTACTTCTAGTGCAGGCCAGTTTGTGACCTGTGACCTTTCACAATGCTCCTTATTTTGATGATAGTAATAACATGACCCATCAGAAGATAATTTTTTTTAGCTGGTAAGAGATGGGCTACCAACATTATTGATGGTGTTATTATAATCAACTCATTTATTGTCTTTAGTCTGTCGGTATTTAAGAATATATGTAAGACCTATCTACTCAAAACGTTTTAGTTAGTCTTTTTAGCTCTCGTATTTATTTTTGAAATGGTGTTTATTTTTTAAAATGTTTCCACAGCGCATTGGGCCGACATTATATGTTTGAATAACAGCACTCTATAAATTAAATTATTATTATTATCAGGGCCAGATTTAAGGGAATGCTAGTGGGGCTACAGCCCCGGGTCTTCCACGTGAAAGGGGACTCCAAAAAGATAATTTTCCTAACTTTTTTTTTTTTTCGAAATTTTACGGCTGGCAAAAAAATATCGTGATTACCAAGTGTACTCTTATAGCATTTTATGACTAAATAAATATAGCTCCAGGTTTACGACAGTGTGTCTACCAAATGATTTACCCTCCACAAACTCCAAAATATAACATTTTCAGACTAAAATCTGTATATCAAATAAAAAAAAAATAATATGAAAATGAGATTAAATGTTCAAGAACTCCATTTCATTCTTTTTAAATTACAGCCTACTTTTAGATATCAGTATTTTTATAAGTGGGTCTTTATTAAAGCTTTCGAAAAGTTGTAGTTGCCTCCACGAAAATTTTTACTTATACAATCAAATTATGACAGGGTAATGTCTGTGGGAAAATAGGCCTATGTTGTTTGCAATAAGGTTTGCGTGGCCATGTGGAATACTGCATTAATCTTCGGACAGTCAAATAAAAACGGTTCAACTCACCAATAAACGCTAGTGACGTGTCAGAGAAGACAGGGCAGACGTAAGGCAAGAACGACTGGTTAACATGGTACATACATCTAAACGTACAACTTATGTCACAGGGCTGCTAAGTAGTCATTGCCTGTTTGTGTATCCGCTGTGTTTGATTTGTAAAGACGTTGCTAAATATTTCCACCGTGTCTTAAGTTACGTGTTAATTCCATCGAGCATTGTGTGTGTGGGTCTGTGTGTCAAGAAATTGATTAACGTCCCTTTTGTGTGTAAAAAAAAAACAACGTTTCAATCAATACCAGCTGTGCACTGACTAGATGTGTATGAAGGCTAAAAATAACGCGATTTGAATTGTTCATTTTTTAAATTTTAATTCAGTGGGTCGCAATGGAGAAGCTCCATAGTTCATTTTTGTGTCGTGTAGATCGAGGGCCGGATTTAAGTATTTGGAGGCCCCGGGGTAGAATTTGTATGGAGGTATCTACAATTTTTCGAAAGCTTTAATAAAGATCAACTTATGAGTGAAAATATGTATATCTAAAAGTATGCTATGTTCTAGAAAGAAAAAAAAAGTTCTTTTACATGTAATCTTGCTTTTTTTTGTTTGTTTTTTAAATTGAAATATGTACAATTTAGTTTATTTTTTCTTTAGTTGTGTGGAAGGTAAGGCCCTTTGTAGACGCACTGTCGTAAATCCGGAGCTTTATTCCCTTATTCCAAGCATGATACAATTGACTACACTTCTTAATCACGACATTTTTTGAATGCTGTATAAATAATAAAAAATAAAAAAATACTAAAAGTTTCTGACCTGTTGAAATTTGGATATTTTTATCTATATTGTGGAGGACCCTTTATTGTGGAGTCCTCTGCGCCCGCTCTCCCTTAAATTCAATTCAAACAAAGTTCATGATTAGTTGGGCTCTTTTTTTTTGGTCCTTGTTTTGAAGCTCTTGGTACAAAATGGCGTAATGCTATCGTACTTCTTAAAAACTTCTAGGTTCATAATCTAGTGGTGTCGCCTTGGGAATACGAAGGATGCTATCACATCGGGTGACACCTATAAGGGGTGAAACTAAAGGGATAAATGTTGGAAATAATAATAATAATGATAATAACAATAATAATAAAATAGTAAAGAAAACCGAAATGGAAAAAAAAACTATGCAATTATGGGAACCCAAGCTTGTTGATTAAGCAGCTATGGAAGTAACTAAAGTAACAATATATTCTGTTGGTATATTAACTGAGGGGATAATGACAACTGGCCTCACAGATACATTCATGGCCCTTAAGAAGATTATAGTTGCCTGCAGACCAGCCACATCACCAGAAAATTTTTAAGCTAACACTGCTAAAGGGAATGCAATGAAATATGTTTCTATTTAACGAAGCTCGCCCCAGAGTGAATATTAGTTCGTTTTTTTTATATAATAACAATAATAATAAGAATAAAATATAAAAAAAAATACACCGGAAAAGATTGAGATTGATGCTTCCTTTAATACTTAAAACTCAATGTTGACAAATGCCGAAACGCGGGTGAGTCAGTTGAACACATAATGGCAGAATGTTAAAATCAGACCCTGCCTCTCTGGGTCGCCATAACCTAGCTTTGACACTAATCTGATTAAGAAAGATACGCCTCCTTACTACTAATATGATTACCTATTATAGGCCTATTGGGATAGACCTATTTTGCCTAACAAGACGGTGGATTTCAGTAGCTCAGATTTAACTCTTTCTCTCCTTAATCATTTTTCCACGTTTCGAAGGAATTCTTCATTTTGCTCTTTACTATTTCACTCCCTTGTTATGATTAAGCTTCGATAGCTTTGTTGTTTTTATCAGAAAATGTTGTACTTGGTATAGAATTAAAGAGGAATGCATGTTCTTTTCATATAACACAAAGTCAAGTTTATAAAATCAAACATTAATTTATTTTAATGAGGTCAAAATCAACGATGGTATCGTCGATTCGGAGAGAAAGAGTTAAGTTTATAATTGAAAAAGAAAAATCTGCAACCATGATTGGCATCGCCGTATCAAAAGCTAACATTATAAAAAAAATTACGAAAACTAAATCTCAGAAATTAAGGGACTATGGAAACTTTAGTAAAACTATACTTTATGCACTCTGTTGTTATATCAACCGAAGGGACAAGTCAATTGACCTCGCAGACACACTGGAAACCCTAAGCATTCGTATCAGGACCTTATCACCTTTCAAAGGGCAGTACTGCTGCAGACATCGTCAGATAATTTCTTAAAGTGGAAACTGTTAAGGGGACTTGTTATGTAGTGTGTGTTTCTAAGGTGACGGTAGGATGAGTTTATCGCCTTGTGGTAATTTAATAAATTAATATTAGAATATTTTTTTAAGTAAAAATATTATTCAAAAGTATCATAAAAATGAGACATTTGAGCGAGTTAAAACTGTCAAATATAAAAAAAAAACGTTAAACCATCGCTCTTATGACGTCTAATGCTGACCAAAACAGGCCAACTACAAGAAGTGTCGCTTAACATGTAAATAATATTACGATACAAAACGCCTAATAAAGTTATACTTACACTTCTTGTGCCTCATTGTCAGTTAAAATTCAGCATAGGCCCTTGCCCCCACGTTAATTTTTTTTTTAAAATTAACTATTATGTTTCACATCGAATAAGGAAAATAACTTCTAAATTATTGAGAAATATAATTGTAAGTGCAGAGTTCTATCGATTATATAAGCTTTGCTCTTTAAAAAAGTTTTTTTTATTTTTATTTTGCTCGTTTTCATCCTGCAAACAAAAAAAAACAAACAACTGTTTTGGTCCGCCTTTGCCCTCTCTTGCAGTTACCCAAAACAAACGCCCGCCCCCCTTTTTCAAACCACTTCGTTTTTCTGGCTCGTCAGTTGACGCCGATACAAACCCTTCCTTATATAAACAAAATAGTCCCTCGACACTGTTTTTGCTCCTCAGTTTTCAAGCCCTTCTAAAATACCTTTGGTTTCTATTCTTCTATAGGACAGACTTTTCCCTTCACGCTTCTTTTAAGTCCAAACATACATGCGTTCACATGTGGTATTGTTTATTTCAACCAAGTGCGATTGAGTCTTTATGAAACGATACGTTGAGAGGCGGCTCCTCCTTAGTTTCATAACACAGACATAAAGCCTAGCAAGAAATGAACATATTTTGTATACAAATGGAAATCTTATTACAAAAACTTTATCAACTCTGTCTGGTAAAAGGTTTGTACAAGTTATTTCTCCCACACCCATTCTCAAGATCAAGTTGAAATTTTGCACAATTATTTATTGGCATAGACAAGACATGAATATATTTATAAAAAAAGAAATTGACCAATAAGTGAATTAATTACTGGTAATTAATTATTTTGTTTAATACCAACAAGGGAAACTAATCCTTTGGTATTCACAAATATGGCTAAATTTGTAAGGTTTTTTTCCCTTGGATAATTGTTAATGCTATTTATTTAACACACATTCTATGATAAAGTCGATACTTTAAACAACTATTTACTGCGCCTAACAAAACATGAATCAATAAACAAATTAGCCAATTAATTGTTTTGTTAGATATCAAATAAGTGAAATAACTTCTACATGATTGAGAGATATAGTTGTAAGTGCACAGTTTTCCCTCGTAGATAAGCTTTGTTTTTCTTTTTATTTAAATGATTTTGTAAGAAAATATGTTGCTTGTTTTTATATTTAAAGTTCATTTTTGGCTTGAATATTAATTGACTAACATGAGTACCAGGAAGTTTGATCTAAAAACATTTATTAAACTCTTTACTTTGGAATGCTGCAAATATTCAGCAAAATGTTGAACAGCAATTACCAGTTACACAAGTGCAAATTTTTTTTTTTAAAACTATGACAATACTGTTGCATGGTGATATAAAAAGATACTTAGGCAAACATTTACCAAACTATAAAAAGTCTGTCACCAATTAATATATGTAGTACATTTAATAACAAATGTTAATAACTCATGAAATAACGAGTAACCAATGAAAATAATGTAATTGGTTTGAATTCATAAATTACTAGTAGTTGTTTGTAATGAAGTCTATTAAAAAAATCAGCTGTAAATAGTTAGGAGCAAATATTAAGGGTCAATTCTAAGGAAAAATGAGGAGCCAATGGCCCATGGCCAGCTTACAGCAAATAATGCTTCACCCTGGCAGAGCCTGAGATGCTGCTGATAATACCAAACTGCATCGGCAACTGCTGTTTCCCTGGACATATCAACTGCACGGAGGGGGGGGGGGGGGGGGAGACTGCTATGTGGGGGGGGGGGGGGGGGGGGGGGGGGGCATCATTGCAACCATAACAAATGCCCAGCATTTATTTCCTTATTTCTACGAGATTATTTATAGTTGTTTAGTGAATGCAAGGAGCCATAGGCTAAAAAAATACATTGTCAAAACTTTAAAACTGCATGGATAGAGGGTAGTGAAATGAACGTGGTCAGCTTATTGACCCATCATATTAATTCCATTTTTTCCATCTAAAAAAAACCACATAGTTATAATAAGTGGAACTGTGGAAGGACTAAACTTTCAATAACATTCCATTATATCAGAGAGGTATTTAATCATACAGTTTGCATCTCAGCAGCAAATAAGATAATACAAATATCTCAGCAATGAAAACCATTTTTTTTTTACAGCTCTAATGTTTAGGTCAAGACAATAAACATTTCAAATTGTAAGGTTGGATGATTTTAAGAGTTTCATTAATGCTAATGAACAGTTTCTTGTTCTCTTTCTAAATACAAAATATCAAACCTCCCCTCTCAGCATGTGTTCAACAAAGGTACCAGGTCTACATTGTAGCTAGTACATTAACATGGTCTTGATTTCTGGGGTTATCCTATGGATTCAGGATTGGGTTTACATGATCCTTTATTCATCCCATAGAGGATGACCCCTTTTTTTCTATCCTTGTTTAATGTGTTTGTACAAAATTGTGCTTAAGCCTTTGAGTAAGCTTTTAAATATAAACTATTCCATCAGAAAAGTATTTGAGTGTATCTAACAAGCTACTTTACAAGTAAAATCTATACAGCACTATTAAAATGTACATATATATCATGCATTTAAATTAATATTGAAACATAGATTCACATTGGGCTAGGAGGAGACAATATCACAAAAGAAACTTCATAAACTCACATTATTTATAAATTATCAGTTGTCCTTTAGTATCTGTTTAAGTGAAAAACAGTTTCCCTTTCAGAACCTTGCAATCTAAAGGCAGGTGATGCACAGGTCATCTGATTCTTTGGCCAATGGTTAACCAGCAGGGTGTCATGTAGCCAGCACAACGACCGACCACCTTTACTTTCCCCAACTAAAGTCAGATACCCATTAGAGTTGGGTGGATTCAAGTGCACCCTAAAAAATCAAAATCTTCACAGTTTTGAACCCAGGACCCATAGATTCGGAAGCCAAACACTTAACCACTCAGCCACTGCAGCCCCAGTATCTATTTACACATACAAAAAAATAATCATGTGAACTTTATTGCACTAATTATTGCAATGTCAAAGGGAATGTTAGGGGTAGGTGGAATGTTCATATCACTAAGTACTCAATGTCCCTCAATGGAAATAAATAATAGTGTGAAAGTTCTGTTCAGATTCTTTTATTAAGTTATAACTTTGCTTTAGTTATACTTTGGATATAGTTATGTAGTTTGTATAGTTATAGTTATATAGTTTGGATATTCCTTCAGAATTGAGATTATTACACCCTAGCCCAAACCTCCTGTAGGACAGTGAGGAATAGCAGAGGGCAGGACCAACAAGAGGACAGCCCAGGGTTGTTTAAAAGTTTTAGCATGGTGTTATAAAATGGACAAAGAAATATACAAAATATTTTTTTCCCTTAAGTCTAGTCACAACTAATTTGATTAGACGAGCAAAACAAAACAAAAAGCAGCTGGAGAAAGTCAACTTTTAAAAACCTTTTTGTTAGTGTTCCGCAGAACCTTATAGATAGTGTTCCCTGAAGCTTGAATAGGTGTTCCATGAACTACAGGTATAATAAACTATTTGGCCACCATGTGAGGTAATCTCTCTAAAAAAAATAACCAAAGTGTTCCACTAAATACTCAGATAGTGAGAAGTGTTCCATTACAGAAAAAGTTTGGGAAACACTGGCTAATAGAATTTATTAATTTTAATGATACTATTTCATGCAACTTAAAATCATATAGAGCAAGCATGTCAAACTCATTATGGTGTATGGGCCGCATAAAAACTTACTATGAGCTGAGGGGCCACAGCCAAAAATCAGTTGCAAAACATCCTACTAGTTTTATGTAAATTAGAAACAAAACAATAGAATACAATAATTAACAGCATACATGTCCCTTAGTTAGCTAAATGTGTAATACTATTTTCATAATTAAAAATTAGAAATAAAAATTAATATGATTACGCATTATTTTCTTTTTTCTGATGCTTGACATCTTTTATAGGATACAAGTTTATTAATGTCATGTTGAAGTTTGTTTTCCACTGACACTTTCATAACTGATGACAAATAATGATGAGATAATCTCGAATGGTGAGGTGCTTTTGTGGCTTTCATTATGGAAAAAAACTTTTTCATTTTAGCATAGCCAATTCTATATACATCGATTTCAACAAAGAATCTTCTTTTCTATCAACTCTAGTTGCACATTTCCAGCAGCTATTTCAGAATCAAATGAAAATGGAGATACAAACAACGAAAATTCTTGCTCGTACGGAACGAAGCCACGAAAACGGTCAATAAAAACATCTACTAACGATTCCAGGTGTAAAAGATATTGACCAAATGTAGCCGTATTTAACCTTTTTAGCTCCTGACAAGTTGAGAAGTGAACAAGATTTTGGTTTATCCACAGTCGTAATTTTGCTTGTAAGCACTTCATGTGATTATACGCAGTTGTGACATTTTTGTCTTTACTTTGAAGTTTCAAGTTCAAGTCTTGCAGGTAACCAGTGATATTAACTGCCAATCCCGAACCCATTAGTCAGTTTGAAAATGTTCAACAGGTTCACCTTTCATGTTCAGAAACAATACAATTTCCTCACGTAGTGCAAAAAAATCTCTTTAGTACTTTGTGACATGAGGGCCAGCGGACTTCTGTGTAGTAGGGAACACAATCAAATTCGTGTCCAATGTCATTCAGAAACATGGAAAACTACGGGCACGAATAAAATTGATAGTGACTGAAACCAGTCTTATGACTGTGCGCAGAATGTTGCAGAATAATGCACTGAAAATGAGCAAATTTAAAATTAGCAAGTCTCTCTTAATTTTGCAAGTAATTTTGCATCAAAACCATTTCATTTCATGGTTGGTGCGCCATACGTTGTTAGACTAACTAGCTTTATCAAAAGTAAATTGTACTGCCATATCAATCCCTGTTATTTCTCAAAACATCCTCACTTCTTATAGTGTTAAGCATAGAACAGAGCTAAAATAGCTCCTCATGTATCTCAAAATTCATGTCACAGGCCCTTATGAATATAGCTAACTGTGCTACACCCGTTACATCAGTTGAATCATGGAGAGCCAATGAAAATAATTTCAAAATCTTTAATTGTTCACGCAATCTGACTGACATGTCATTTGTTCTATCTGCCACAGTGTTCCTAGTTAACGCTATTTCTGTGAATGCTTTCACATTTTCTAGGCAAAGTACTTCGGCTTTAACGACACACTCCTTCATAAAATCACATTCACTAAATGATTTACTATGGCTTGCAATTAAATTTGACAAAATGTAGCTTAAATTGCTTTCACTGCAGACACACTTTCATTGTTCCGTTTAACAAATACTATTTTTCGATTCAAGTAGCTTGTCATCTCTTATTTTCCAGCGTAACAGTTTAACATTATTTTGATAAATTTTAGGTGGCTAAGCAGGCCGCACGCAAAGTGGTCGCGGGTCACATGCGCCCCTCCCTCCCCCGAATGCCAAGTTTGACATGCCTGATATAGAGCTTATATTTATCTCATACACATATTAAATGTTTCCTTCAAAAAAAAAAAAAAAAAATCGAGCATGTGATATATAGTTCATCAATAACATTGATAAATGTTTGATCATTTTTATTTTAAATGTTTTAGGGGTTCTTTAAGCAGTGACAAATACTAATTACCTGTCCCAAACCTACTTCAGAATTATGGGTCGACAGTGGGCAGGGTTTGAATGCAGAATTATTGTAATGACAATCCAAAGTGCATACCACATCCCCCGGCAGCCATTTATAATATCACAAATACCTAATATATAATATTTTAGTTACGTAACAATACATGTTTTATTTTTACAAATAAACATAAAAATGTACACATTTTCAGCTTAAAAATATATTACAATAAGCTTTTAATTATGCTTGTTCACAGAGAGACATTGTGAAAGACAAGGAGTTGTAGTTTGTGTGGAGGGAAGGAAATACTTTGTTCCAACAGATACTTGTACATTTGAAATGTTCAGAGATGTTATGTTTCAACGTCTGCCAATGTGTAACAATCAATCCACACTTATTTAATTACATTTCATATGTTTTAAATAGAATGCCATGATAACTATGCACAATAAGGAACTTTGACAAGAGACATAAATATTTCTTATAATTATACTCATTGTTGCAACTCACAAATTTCATACTACGTAAGATCAAAAAAAAAAAAAATCAGACAAACATTGCAGATTCATAAGTGTAGATAAATTTTGATATTGTTAGCTTGTTAAAATAATTTCTTATAAAACACTAGACATATGTCACCCGCGACCCACAGGTCTTTATTTGCGCATTACTGTCAATATAGTCACACATTAAACGAAATAATAATGTAATAAGTAAAGCGAATGTGTCAATGGAAAAATAGTATGAATGACGCTATCAAATAAAAATAGCTAATAGGCTTAAATCCATTTTTTCAAATTAAAACATTTGCTTGTAGGCCTACATATATTTGATTAAAATTTGAGATGAATAGACTTAATTTTGTATGTTCATGTGTATAAGTATAAAGTAGATCTTGAGGTATGATAGATCTAAATCTACTCTAATCTAGAGTTAAAATTGGCTTTTATAGAGTTCATTCTGTGTTGCGCATGCATGACCTTTTTTCATGAATGAATATAGGCCTATCTCAACACGGCTACGCAACTTTAACGAACAGCGAACGAATGTATTAAAAATGCTTTAGAAAAAAAAATTTGAATGTTAAATTGATTAAAATATCAAATGAATGGACA